ACACATCTTTGTTACAACTGGAAAAAGGTATGTTGTCAACTTTTTGGCCACTTTGGTGCCACGAACTATTTGACGCTGACTGTACCACCAGCAACCGCAGCGTTGGACGTCCATCCACAATGACAGATGACTATAAAGGTAGCAGGAAGGCGCAGTTTGCAGACCGCTACCAACCTGCCAATCTGGAGTTCTGTCTATCAGTCCATCAATGTCTTTAGGTTTAAAGTATTGAGTCCGAAAGTGGGGGGCGCAAAGACCTTTAAAGGGGTGCGCGGGCCATCGTGTACTTAAGTATAAAAAACCTGCGACCACTGAGAGAATGCATTCCAGATTGCTCGATACGACCAATAAATAATCTTGACTGGAGGAGGGGGGGCGCGGAAATTTTTGTACGGTTAAAAGGGGGCGCGTCTCAAATAAGTTTGGGAACCAATGATTTGAAGTGATAATAGGAGTTTTGGCAGAGGAGAATTANCACCACCTAACTAGGCTAAATAAAGTCCCAAGGTCAGAAATTGTGTTCCACGGATTTCTCTCTACACCGTCGTTAAGGCATTCATTGACTGGACTACTGTGGGTCTAGACAAAGTGCAAATTATAATCGCAAACTAGTCGAAAAATGGTCGAAAAGCCCCTTTTTTATATGGAGTTTTGACGGATTCGATTTTCGATTCGATCAAAAAGTGGGTTTTGTCTAAGGGGGCTGTAATACTTATCAGTTTCATTAGTTTCAGTAGGCATTGCCACTGGAAATTAGATAGCATAAAACGATTCTTAAGGACTAAATGATTTTTCAGTTTATTGCTACATTCGACGTGAATTCAGCTGACACATGGACCTATAAAATTTTTTTTGTAAATACAAACTTATTATACATATTAACACCCAGACCCATCACAGAAATTAAAATTGAACCAAACCCAAACTTGATGCGATTGTGTCGTTTTATTGCGAATTACCTTCCAGCTCCATCATTAGACCCCGATTACTATATAGAATTAAAATACTCATCAATACAAAACGAACGAGCCCAAACTCGATGCATTTAAGTCGTTTTATTATAGAGTTCCTATGGCCACCTTCCAGCTCCATCATCAGATCAGCTCCATGTCATCATAATATTGCATGGTCATCCAAATCACATGTGTTTGCGAAATTTCAGCTTAATCGGTTGCCTGCAAGTGGGTCATAATTCAGTTTGCAAGATTCCACCCATACAAATATGAGCCAGTCGTTGTAATATGACGTCACGCGCATAAAATGGCGGGCCGGCCGCCGCCCGCACTTTTATAATTCAATATCTTGGAAACTAATTAACGTATCGAAATAATTCTTTCACGTGTATTTTTTATTTTTAACAGAGAATACAGAAAGCTAAAAAACAAAATTAGTGAACATTCTTCATTATCTTGTTGTTTCGGTGGACTTAACAAAATCTGGCGTTATTTATACTATTTTCCATTCTACATAATAGCTTGACGCCACAGAGCATGGAATCGACGATTCCATGCTCTGTGCTTGACGCGATCACGCAAGGTTCTACATCGTCGCTTCTACCAGAATTCTTTATCGTCAATGTAGTATTCTTCCCATTTGTGAAAATCATAATCAGCTATGCAAAACCGAATTAGTTGCATTACATACGTTTGCCATTTGCGAAAGAAGCAGATCTGTTTACGTATCAGCTACTTCAGATACAGCAGCTATTTGGATTATACCCTCAGATCATAGAAGGGATCTTTTTTATGCATAACAAGGCGGGTATTTGACCGCAATCGCACCTGGTGTTAAGTTAGATGCAGTCTAGGATGGTACATATCTGTCTTGTAAGTGCCTATTCACTCTCGCCTTAAGAAGCATCTAAGCCAGTGGCTCCCAAAGTTGTCTGGGCTACGACTCATCTAATACAAGTCCCCAAACTCGGGACCCACTTAAGGAAATTTAAACGTTACCAATATGCCTAAATAAAGGACTCGGATCTGTAGGGTGGTGTGTCGTTCTACAGGCAGGGCCCACTCAATGTTCGCTCGCGACCTACCTACTGGGTCGCGACCCATAGTTTGGGGAACCCTGATCTAAGCAGACAATACCTACCAACAGCTGTTGGTTACAGAGGCGGCGGCGGCGGTGGCGGCGGCGGCGGTTGCGGGGCCGCCGCCGGCGCCTTAGCCGCCTCCGCTGCGCGCTGCGCTTCCATCGCCTGCACGTATTCCGGGCTTGGCATGTAGCCCCTGCAACAAAAGGTTCGTTTCAGCCAAATGACGTCCAGTGCTGGACAAAGGCATCCTCCAAGAATTTCCAAAACGACCGGTCCTGCGCGGCAACAAAAGGATGCCCACTCAAAAATGCAACAAAACAGTTCTGTCCCATCATCATCCCAGCCACAGGGCGTCCACTGGTGAACATAGGCCTTCCCCAATGATTTCCAGATTGGCCGATAGGTCAGCAAGGTTCTGGAGAGTCCACGTACAGTCAGCCTCAAATAATTTGTGACACCCAAAGTAGACAAAACAGTTCGCAACACGTCTTGAAAAAAGGTGTGTGGTCAATTTGACCACTTTGGGAGTCACGAACTATTTGACGCTGACTGTACCAGCAACCGCAGCGTTGGACGTCCACCCACAATGTCAGATGACTCTATAAAGGTAGCAGGTATGCGCAGTTTGCAGACCGCTACCAACCGGCTAATCTGGAGTTCTGTCTATCAGTCCATCAATCTCTTTAGGTTTAAAGTGATAATAGGAGTTTTGGCAGAGGAGAATTAATAATTTTCAATCTTTTCAGATATCTTTTGTAAAAGGTGAAGAAGAATGCAAACACCAGCACTCAGCAGGCTTCCCAACTTTTTTGCCCAGCGTGGGGGGGGAGTGTAGGCCGAATCCAACATCTTCTGGTATTATTTTTTTTCATTTATTTAGTAAATAAAATTACAGACAATTTGTTTTGACGGCATTCAGGAAACCACTAAGAAACCATTAGAGAAGGTTGTGAGTACTCCTGCAGTGAAGGAAGACTAATAAATAATTAATGTCCTAATGTTGATGTGGTAATTCACTCCAATCACGTTTCTACCATGGTGACACGCCGTGCGATTTTTAGGAACAGTCACCAATGGGGAAAATGAATTTATACGTATTATTCATATACCTAAGTAGGTATTTATTAATTCAATGAGACAAATATTTCGGTATTGCATACGAATAGTTCGTAGAAATTCATAACCTGAGCAATATTACCTATGCGCATAACAATAGTAACTACGAGTACAAGCTCATCAACAGGTATAAATAAGACAGGCAGGAAAAAATATTTGTTGGTAGATCTGTTCCTATTTAGGGACGAAATTAAAAATAAAACTCGAGAAACAAACTGAAATTGAAAAAGAAAAAACACCTCTTATGGACTTGTCAGCAAGTTTTTTTTCACGAACGAAAATCAGAGCGAAAAAGCTACAAAATCAACTATTGCGAATCTAAAAACAACATTCAAACATCTATTTGTCCGAAATACATTTGTCATTGAACTTGACTGGTCGCGTAATTCGTCATGAAGGCAACCCAACGCGCTGTAACGAGTGATGTGTAAGTAAATTAGCACCTCGCGTAGACGTGCGAATAAACACGCTAACAAGTAGGTAGGTAAAATGTAGCAGACTTACATTGGTATGAGTAAAACTGAAAAAGTACTGTCTGAAAAAATAGAAGCACAGTGTCAGGAGAGCTATCCTCGGAAATGATACCGAACACCCCATGTACCTCATCAGAGCAAACAAGACCACTCTGACGTGCCCGACTACGAAGACAGAGAAAAATAGTAGGTACCTAAGAAAGGAGAAATAATATATATATATATATATATATATATATATATATATATATATATAAAATCTTATCTTATCTTTAATCTAATAAGATTATATATAAAATAATCTTTTTCTGATTAACTGAAAAATAGAGAACTTCAAAATGTATTCTCTTATGTGCTGATGATTTATTCACATTAGGCTCGAGTTATTAAGTTATCGCTATCATCATCTATTAATGAGTAGAGAAAAAGCTAACTTTCAGATTATTTTCATTGGTGTATGAGATTAAAGAATAAAATAGTAAATGTGTTTCAATTTCAAAATAGAGAAAAAGAAATCATACTTACCAATAAAACGAAGTCAAGATGACAGACAACCCTGCTCAATATTATCTGTAATATCCTTAGTTTCAGTAGGCATGGCTATTGGAAATTAGATCACATGAAACGATTCTTAAGGACTATATGATTTTTCAGTTTATTGTTACATTCGACGTGAATTCAGCTGACATTATATCGTTTATGTAGTCTTGTTGATCTCAATGCAGCGGGCATATGGTAATAATGCATAACAGACGGAGTCGTATTCATTATTTTTATGTTATTGTCGCCAATTCTCCTTCGGATATCTGTTTACGTTGAACAATGTCAAGTTGGTTTTAGAGAAATCAAATAATTAAATATTCATCGTCATCATTTTTTCAGCCACAGGATCACCCACAAGGTTGACTGACAACCTCATATAGGTAACAGGAAGGTGCTGGATGCAGGCCGCTATCAACCGGGCGATGTGGAAATCATTGTGGGAAGCCTATGTCCAGCAGTGGACGCCCTATGGCTGAAATTAAATATTGTAAATCCCTTATTAAGTATTGATTCTAGACTTAACGTTGACGTGACGTTCATCCGTTATCATTATTTGCCTGCCTCACTTCATTACTGGATGTAGGTATCTCCCAAGTCCCAAAATAGACGCTGCACCTGGCCCTCAGCTATTCTGTCTTAAAACTATCAACAATCGACTCGCCATCATTCCTTCCTAATTCATCATATTTCATTTTCATTTCACTAGAATCATGATTCCCTGGCATAGCATAGGACTTTTCATTAACAAAAATATCTTCTCTAATAATAACTCAATAATTTAATACTAAAATCATATAGGACATTACAAAACCGCTCACAAGAGCTTACAAACGCTAAAAAGTATAAATATAAAGTTAAAAAAATGTATGTAATAATCAGCACTCTTCTCCATCACCACCAGCCGGATCAGTAGGATCAGTTTCCTCAAAGATGTCTACATCAGAGGTTGCAGGCTCAGGACTGGCGGGTCCAGGACTCGCTGGTTCGGGACTCGCTGGTTCGGGACTCGCTGGTTCAGGACTCGCTGGATTAGGACTTGGCACTGGAGATTCATCCTTCGCTGGAGCAATGGTTACTAAAGGAGTATCAGGTTCTAGACAAACATCGTTTGACGTGTTAGATCCCTTAGCTGACGACGTATTCGTTTGCGTCCCTTCGTCTGTATCGCGATGAGATTTCCATTCTCTGAAAAGAAAATACAGATAAATAATAATAGTGACGTCTTATTTTAAATTGGAAGATTTAAAAAAAACAAAATCGGCTATAAAATAAAAATAATCAAAACAAAATAAAAATAAACCATACCGTAAAAACATTGGACCACAGATTCATGTTGTTTTCTCGGGAGAGGAGGTGCCGTGATAAAAATATACTGTTTACAATGAGAAAACGTATTTTATAATGCCAAATGGCATTGGCAGTAAGCATAATGTAGTAATCCACTCCGCAGGCCGTAGCGTTATTTTATTGCTAGAACAGTTTGATAAAATCAGTTGTTAAACAGAAACTCTAGACTTGAGCATACTTCAAATTCAAAGACTTTAAATAGTAAATGTGAAGAATAACGACGTAAAATAAGAAATTGGTACATAAACGAATCTTCCAGAAAAAATATACGAGTACAACGAATGATATGCCAATAGGTGATGCTCTTAACTATAGGTACTTAGTGTTAATTTTAAAAAGCGACTCCGGACTTTAAAGCTCCTCAAATTTTGCGCTAACTGGTTTAAATATGCCTACCAAAAATATATTTCTTAAGCCGTAAATATACTCGTATTATTTCTAATTGTCTTCGTTATCTCTGTGAGGATATGAATATGGTGACCGTGGAACTGCCCCATACGTAGCTAGAATTACTGATTCTTAGACCATATTACACAAATTGGCTGATCTGTCTGCGCTCGCGGCTGCGTCCTAGCGACTAACTATTATCTCATTTTGAAGTCCGTTACAGTTGGATATTGTCCAATTTGAATATGAGTCGAGATTTCGAGAACCATTGTGCGTCGATAATGCGATGCCCGACGGAACCAGACCAAAGCGATTTGCTTTTCTAATATTGGCCGGCTTCATGTCAGTTCGTCCGATATTGTTTTCGAGTTTTCCGCCATGATTTCGATTATTATTTGCTTGTGAGTTTTAAACTGTTAGCTTTTGAGCGTTATTTGTTTGCAATATTGAAGTACGGAAAATTTTATACGTATATTTGTAAATGAAGCGTATTTTTTCAGGTTTTCAAATCAGTATTGGTTCTGTTAGGTGTAAGGTCGTTTCAACATTCTTGTGTGAATCAGATGTTTTGATTCAGGGCATCAGGTCACTTTGAAGTAGGATATTTCTGTTATTCGTTCGATATCGTATATCATTTCATCAATAGTTCAAGTTTCAACAATAGTAAGCAGAGCTCAATAATTTCTGAAGCAATTCCAATGTTTTATCCCTGCTGAGCATTTTGCGTGGGTGGACAGCACAAGTCCTGTAGCCCCTATCCAGCGCGCTAACTTTGCTAAATTACATAGGTTAAAACTGCGAGCCTGGGCATTGAATCTAAGATACAGTCAGCTGCAAAAAAGCCCTATACATATTGAAATTGCAGAATAAATGTTTTATAACTGTCAAAATTTTGAAATAGGCTTTGACAGCATAACGTTAGATAAATATCAAACAGAAGACAAAGCAATGAACAGTAATTTGTTACTGTGGCGGCTACAGCTGCACAATATTTCGGTGACGCGGAATAATATTGATAGTACGAGAGCCCGCGACCAAAATTTTTGTCTCATAGCAATACGGCCAAAACCGCATCAAATCGATAGATACGATTATCCTGAACTCGAAAATACCAATATCAGACATTTTCCGCGTAGCGTTTGATCTGACCGAATTTTCAAAATTGTCAAAGAATTTTACCGAACTGCATCATAGCAATATGTCTGATTTGCAGACTGTAGTTGAATGATAGTTCTGAGATACCGGAAACATTATTTTCAGACGTTAGTGGTGTAGCGCAAACCCGTAAAATCACTTAAAAAAATTAAAAATGAGACAAAAAAAATGTCTCATAGCAATACGTCTGAAAATCTTTTTTATTAGTAAATTTTGGTTATTTGATGCGAACAAAACAATTTTCAGACGGAAATGTGAACGCATTAAATTTTGAGACCGTTTTGAAAATGTTAACAAATTTTACCGATCGGTATCATAGCAATATGTCTGAAAATTGTTGGACATGATAAAATAAGTTGTCCACATGTGCAAAAAATTTATATCAGACAAATTAAGTGTAGCACCTTCTCTATCATACAACTTTTTGATACACTTAAAGTGTCTGAAAACAGGTTTTTGGTAATCATGGCAGCAATACGAAAAGTTGAAAAAAATAATTATCCGTATTGCTATGATACAGGTCGGCTAAATTTGTTGACATTTTCAAAAATGCGCTCAGGCTATATGCTACGCGCAAAATGTCTGAAAACCAACTTTTTCGTAATACAATTATAAAATCTATGTACATTTTCACTATCAGACGTATTGCTATAATACAGACTGTCTTTTTTTTTTGACACAGCAGAAATGGCCTCCCACGCAGTTGCTACACTTTCGACCGTTACTACACACCTAGTCGGGTTCAGAATCATACAATCTAACGATTTTATAGGGTTTTTGCCGTATTGCTATGAGACATGGTTTTGGTCGTGGGCTCTCGTACTATGAGGGATGGTAAGTACAGAGAAATCTGAAAGATAAGAAAGAAATGTAGTCAAAAATGATTTATATGCAGTAGACTGTAGCAGCATTAAATCTGCCCAGAACATCTCTGGAGCCAGCACCCACGTAGCAACAGCAACTGCATCGCTGAAATAACTCCTGCTGGATGCGTAACGAACGATAATATTGCAATGTGCAATGTTTAACCATGCGATGTATTGATGGGATTTGTACGAGTCTCAGTATTTGTACTGGATATATGTAACGCTATACAATATTTGCAGTCAAATCGTAAATAAAGACACATCAAGGAAAAATATTGACGAGATAGGCATAGAAGATGGTAACCTAACAACAAATTGGAAGTACCAAATATGACCTTCCGATAATAAGCTGTTCGTAATGTGAATTTAACATAGAAAAGAAACCTTGAATTTTTATTCGTAAACGTAAGGGAGATAGTAAAACAAAACAAAACGTATTATAATAACACAGAGAAGTTGCTGTGCTCACAAATGATTGTCAAATTGATGACATGGTCTGGATTGGAACAGATTATCTCGCATAAAGCTGAAGGCTGAATCTATGCTGCAGATTAGAGACGAGTGACGACAATAGAAGAAGATTTAATTTTAAAACTTATGTGCAAAAAAGGTAAAACAAAACCTACAGAGAAGTTGCTATGCTATGTGCCTATGTTGTACAAGTACACGAATAATTGTCGAATCTATACTCTATACTAATTTATAAATGCGAAAGTAACTCTGTCTGTCTGTCTCGCTTTCACGCTTAAACCACTAAACCAATTTTGATGAAATTTGGTATATAGTTTGAGTTTTGAGTCCCGGAAAAGGACATAGGATAGTTTTTATCCCGGTTTTTGAAACAGGGACGAGCGCGATAAAGTTTTTCAATGACAGACAAAATTCCACGCAGGCGAAGCCGCGGGTGGAAAGCTAGTATACTTAATAATTTGTTGCATCCATAACGTTACAAAGGGTGGTAATAGTTGACATAGTCTGGATTGGAACAGGTCATGTCGCCTAATCGCCTATAACGTTGAAGCTATGCTGCAGAATACAGGCGAGTGACGGCGTGCGTCTGGGCTCGCTGGCGTGCGCCCAACGGTCGCGGTCGCGATGCATGCCGTTCCGGCTGCCGTAGCTATTACGTAAGGCCATCGCGGTCAATCACTATGAATAAAGAGCCCTGTAGGTCTAGACCAGTGGCAATTTGCAGGTCTAGTGGCAATTTTTGATCGAATCAAAAATCGAATCCGTTCACGGAGCGATGTAACTCCATACAAAAAACACCGGAGNTTGCAATTAAATAGATTTTAATATGACTGGAACAGTGGAACTATTCCATTCCCGATACTTTTAGTGCAGCCCTCGTATTGCAAAATTCCCACGGGAACGGGAGTTAGCGGGAAAAAACATTTGTATGAAAAAATCAAAACCGCGTAAGATATATGAAGGGGGTAAAACGGGACCCACGCGTACGAAGTCGCGGGTGGCCGCTAGAAAAATAAAACTCGAGAAAAAAACTGAAATTGAAAAAGAAAAAACACTCCTTATGGACTTGTGAGCAGTTTTTTTTCTGTTTCAGAATGAAAATCAGAGCGAAAAAGCTACAAAATCAAATATTGCGAATCTAAAAACAACATTCAAACCCATCTATTTGTCCGAAATACATTTGTCATTGAACTTGACTGGTCGCGTGTAATTCGTCACGAAGGCAACCCATCTGCTGTAACGAGTGATGTGTAAACTGTAAATTAGCACCTCGCGTAGACGTGCGAATAAACACGCTAACAAGTAGGTAGGTAAAATGTAGCAGACTTACATTGGTATGAGTAAATCTGAAAAAGTATTGTCTGAAAAAAATGAAAGAAAGTAAGAAAGAGAAACATTTATTTGGTTCCAACTTAAAATATAACACATAGATAACAAAAAGCAAGAACAAGTTAGAACCAAAATTGGCCACCGCTCAGCATGTGTCATGCTCTGGAGTAGTAAATAAAACCCAGAACATGACGCTGTTATTCTGCGGTGACCAAAATGGAAGCGCCAGGAGAGCTATCCTCAAAAAATGACGCCGAACACCCTATGTATAGCCTGACCAGGAACATAAAAACCCTGGCATAGAGGCGCCTCAATTGCATAGGCCAAATCCAACATCTTCTGGTTTTTTTTTTTTCATTTATTTAGTAAATAAAATTACAGACAATTTTTTTTTACAGCATTCAGGATACCACTAAAACACCATTAGAGAAGGTAGTGAGTACTCCTGCAGTTAGTTAGTTAGTTTCAGCCAAATGACGTCAACTTCTGGACAAAGGCCTCCCCCAAGGTTTTCCACTCCTGCAGTGAAGACTAATAATGTCCTAATGTTTATGTGGTGATTCACTTCAATCAAATTTCTACCATGGTGACAAGCCGACACGCCGTGCGATTTTTAGGAACAGTCACCAATGGGGAAAATGAATTTATGCGTATTATTCATATACCTAAGTAGGTATGTATTCATTCAATGAGACAAATATTTCAATATTGCATACGAATAGTTCGTAGAAATTCATAACCTGAGCAATATTATCTATGTGCATAACAATAGTAACTACGAGTACAAGCTCATCAACAGGTATAAATAAGACAGGAAAAAATATTTAACGGAACGGGAACTAGCGGGAA